GGGAAGTTCAGAGCAATCTGTAATCATCAGCACCTGTGAGTATCGCTGGGGGACCCTAAGATGCCTCTGACAGCAAAGTAGAGTAAAAGCCCTACCCTACCCACAGTCCGTGACTTGAGAAGCAACAATCTAAAATCACAGGGTATACAGATATACTTAAAACAGAAGTGTTATTATTGTGGAAATGCAAATGACAAACATAATTAGGTACATCCTAGGGGAGAAAACCCTGAGCAATAACTGCCCGAAGCTGCACTCCTTGTAGTATCATTTAGAAACCAGCCATGCAAATTTTGAAAGTAAATTTCCAGATTTTTTTTTACAATTAAATAGAAATTTTGGCTCGAAGTCGTATAGTAAAAAGCACAATGAAGTGAGCAAGGTCAAGATTAATTTCTAAAACTCCTAGGAAGGTAAAACCCATATACTGGAAGATTTAATAGAGCCTTGTACTGTATTTGGCCAAATTTACTTAAGGTCAAAACAAAGCTACCAGGCTGAAAAAAATCTCTTTTTCAAATTATAAATTTAAATGTTCTTGAAGGACATATCGTATTTCCCCATGTATAAGATGCTCCCATGTATAAGACACACCTTAATTTTTGGACCCCAAATTTGAAAAAAAAATGTATTACATAAAGTTATTGAACTCAAGTTTTATTCATCATAAAATTCATGCAACTCATCATTGTCAAAACTCCCAACCATTAGCTTGTCCTCATCTGTGTCTGATGACAAATCACTGTCTTCATATATTGCCTCGTTCTCAGCGGGAAATGCAAGTAAAAAAACCTACAATCACTGTATAAGACGCACCCAGTTTTTAGACCCCAAATTTTTCAAAAAAGTGTGCGTCTTATACATGGGGAAATACGGTATAGGGTGGACAACCACCTGAAAGACTTTATTGACCCTATTTTTTACCATATATTGGTTCTAAAATATGAATATATAAATAATTGTAATTCCACTATTAGTATTGGACTACCTGTATATAGATAAAGACATTAATTTGTAAAATCCTTGATGATTTAAAAAACTGAAAATTTTCAACAATATGTGTGATGGGTTTTTTTGCCAAAGTGGTATTGACTGGGGGGGCCTGGGAGTGGGGTTATGCATGGTCAGATGAGCTAGGCAGCCTTTAGGAACAGGCCTGATGCATACCCTGAATGTACACCATCAGCCACTACATTACTTCCGTAGAGCTCCTTACCTGAAAGAGTTTGCCTTGAGATTCTCTTACTGGGTTCAATAGAGTAGTAAAAGTGGCAGCATTTTGGAGGGAGTATAGAATATAAAATTGAATCATAAAAACATTCATCTTTTCAGACAGATATATAAAGACATTAATTAAAAGTGACTTTCTGCTATGACCCAGATTGGCTAGATTTTCCCAGGGAAGGTGATGAGAGACTTCAGAATCAGGTTGATATGGTTTTTTTTTCCTCATGGAAGTATTAAAGTATCCCTACACCACCACTCCTTTCCTCCACCATAGTATCTAAAAGATTTTTTTTTTTTTTGTAGTTTCTAGCACAAATCACTTGTTTACTCGTGGCCCTGCTCATTGATTCATCCTCTGAAGCTTAGGCAGCCTGCCAGATCTTTGGGTACTTTGGAGCAGAAACAGATGGAAGGAGGGGGAGGGAAAGCCTGAGGTTGCTTATCGCCCCCAATTCCTCACCTCTTTTCCCAGCCACATACGTGTTTCTCAGACACACTTGATCCTTCATTTCATAACAAAGGAGACGCTCCCAAAGTTGGCCTAATAAACAGATATTTTTCTAAGGATGAGCACTCAGTCAAGACAAAACTATATTTTTACTATAAATGAGAAATTTGCTACAGTGAAAATGAAGCTTGAGAGTTGGATGTAAAGTGTTGATTATGGGGAGTTGTGGGTTGTGTGAGACTCTTAGTTTATTTACATGGAATTAAAATGACACCATTATCATTACCCTGTCAGATTAACAGTCTTCTGATTAGCAAAAGACTAATGAGAGACCGATTCTACGCCATGGCACAAACAAGATGACATCCCAGCAAGAAAATACTCAATTTCAATATATGACATTGAAATTTCCAACAGAAGCCTGAAAATATTGCCCAGGTCACTTCTTGGAAAGTCATCACTTCTTAGCAATTACTGTAGCTAACAGAACAGTAAAATTTTTGTTTTTTGCACCTACCTTTTAAGTCTGGGTTCTCAAAATATTATGATACAAAAGAGAGAAGAAAAATTGCCAAAAACATTGAATCTAACGTGCATGATCAGAAAATTCAGCCTAGTTTCCAAAAATGGATAAATCTGATTCATTTTATATTAATATATTAATGTGTTAGAAAGAAAACATTTTTTCTCCTTGATAGGAAGTAATTTTGAAACATTGTTTTCATTTTAAAACTAAAACATCTACTGTGGAGCAGCATGAAGAATGAGGGTGAATTTTTTTTAAGATCAATATGAGATTTTAAATGTTTACATTTGGAGACATTCAAACTATTCATTATACTCTTCATTGCTATAAACTATTCATTGCTATAAAAAAATGTGGGGAAAAGTTCTTTAGAAATATGGTTTAAATATAGGAAAAGATTGAGTTGATTGGTTTAAGACACTATGATAATATAAGAGGAATGAAAGGAATTACAATAAAACACACTCATTCCCCTTTACGTCACTGTTACCCTTTGTATAAATCACTCAGTTCCCACATCTTCCTCAGGCTCACCTGGGCTCCAGAGAGCAGGCTGTGGCTTGCTCTGAATTGCTTCCTTCATATACTACCTGGCTCGACCACAGTAGACACTTGTTGACCAAGGGTCATGGTCATGTTACTTAGAGACTTTAACTATAGCATGGCAAAAAGTTCCTTACTGCACAACCAAAAGGAATCCAGAGGCTGGTTTTTTGCACTCTGGCACACTTTACTTGCTTGTCAAAAGCATTGTTGTTCTATCCACATTTCTTTGGGTGATGGGAACTGGTGATAGAGATTGTAGGGTTATTGACCAGCTAAAGATCTCCCCACCCTGCCATTTTTTACAACCACGTACGTGTGCTTCATCTCCCACTGCCTGTATCCCATTTCCCCGATTAACATGCTCCGTACACAGCACCGTACCTTCCTCCCACAGAAGCTTGAGACCTTCGTCACACCGAGTGCCCTTTTTGAGGCCCTTAGACTGATTCAGAGCCAATAGAGCTCCACCTAGGTCAGCCCTGGTTCTTGTGGACAGCCTACAAGGCACTGCTACAAAGAATTGCCTCCACTGAACATGTCCTTCCTTTCTCCCCCACAGACATAACCAGTGTGGTGCAATCCAAGCGAAGAAAATCCAAGTAAACAAGCTGGATGGCGACTTGATACTTGTAAATGTATGTGAATTTTATAAAAAGCAATTTTGAGCTGTGACTTTTTAAAATCCATTTCTGTACAGCTAGTCATTTTAATAACGTGGCCCTTTTCCTAGTCCCTGCAACCTGTTTTGTAAAGTGCAATGGGGAAAGCAGAGTTGTTGAACCCTTTTGGTGTTAATGAAGTTCAAGGTTTCTAAAATGTTGCCATGTATTGAGAGGAGCTAATGCGATTATGTTAACTAGTTTTCACATTTCCTAAGCAGCCTAGAGTACAGGGTGAGCATTTTTAGATCTTCTAATGAGGTATTGTGCTGTGGAAGTACTGTGTGAATAGCAGTAGTGGGGGCAAAAGGACTCTCATTTGGAAATGTTGTAAATAATTTTATTATATAGTGTTTTGGATGTATTTGTTGTAGAAATGGACCAGTGAATAAAGAGAATCTAAGGGTTTGTATAATGTGAAATACTGAATGTGTTAAATAAATGTCATTGTCCTAGAACATATATGTATGTTATTGGTAAGGGACTATTGGATGAGCAAGCTCTTTCTTTAGACTATAAAACAATAGGAACAGCCGTCTTTGTGAATTAGAATCCCATCTTGTCCTCATTGCACCTGAGATGCACCTGGCAAGTTGAGAAAAATGTATATTCTTGCTCACTGAACACATTCTTGTCTTTGAAGAAACTGGCCTTTTGCAGCACTGTACCAGGTACTTTTATATACGTTGGTCAAATTTCTTTGATTGCAAATAACAGAATCAACTTAGGATCAAAGGCCACCCAGGATTTACTAGGGACCGGAAATCATCAGCAACCCACATGGCACTTCTTCACCTCAGAACATCTGCTTATCCCTACACATGATGAATTGCTCCAACATAACTGTTTATACCTCCTCCATTCAAGAGATAAGCCCAGAATGACCAGCAAGATTCGTTGTAACAGAATCAAGAATCCAGCCCAGTTTAAGTCAGCTTTCCATCTTCAGTCCAGATCTGTGGTTAGATGGGGCAGGCATTTTGTGTTATTTCAGATGTCCACTAGATTCCACTCTTTGGCTGCCCTATTCCTCATCCGCATCAGGCTTAGGGGTGACTTATCAACATGCCCAGGTGTTTCCCTTTCCTGCTTAATTCTTACCTAAGAATTTGTAGTCTTCAAAACCAGCTGCTGCTGCTTTCACCCAACCCACTTACCTACCATCAGGGGCCTCAAATGCTTGAGGCCGTCCTTGTCTTGGTCTGGGCCTCAGCCTTCTGCTGTGTCTTGAACAGTTAGACATACGCGTATACTCATCCCTTCGCCTTTAGTAGCTCCTTGCCATAACCCAATGCCTGAGACCAAAAGGAGTCTGTGATTCTCTGTCATGCTCTTACTCTCATCTCTATTTCAACTGTCTTACTACTAATATATATGTCTTGTGTTATAAGGATCCCCTAAAAGTAGTTATTTATGAGTCAGACCCTACATTGTCTGGCTGTGTTCCCAGCAAGCTTTATCTACGCTCTTCCTTCCCTTATGACATACATAACCAGACCCAAAGTCAGCCTAATAATAATACTCTCTGCCAGTGCTGTGCTAGAGGTTGTAAAGTGCTTCTCCTACTTGAGCTATATTCAGGCAGAAAGCGTAATGTGCTTTAAATAGATTTTTATTTGTTTTTCTTTATATTAATTTTTTTTTCTCCCATAGAGGAATAACATTACAGTCTAACAATCAGAATCCTGTTACACACATACACAGGCATGCCACATGACCGGGTTGAGGTGGTTGTGTCCTTGAGTCTGTAGACACGTCACAACATGGTCAACCAAAGTCTCCTCATTTCAGCCAGTCTCAACACAAAACACCCAAGAGGGATGCACTCAACTTAGCTCCATTTGGAACTGGGTGACAGGGCAAGTTTCAGGAAGATATAAGGGGTTATAGTGTGTCTGCATTCGGTCCCCTCACATAAAGCCACATGGATCTGAGGAGGCATCCAAGAGCTCTGGTGGGGTCCTTATTGCACCTAAGATATTACAGGTAAGAGCAAATTGATCAGGGTTCCAGGCAGGGGCCGGGGAGCAGGCATACTCCAAAACAGCAAACTGCATTCATACACACGTGATACCCTGCTGGGGCCAGACTGGCAAAGGCTGGAAAGTGACACCCAGCTTGAAGAGAGCACTCAGACATATTGGGGAATTACTGTTAAGTCGCCCTTTGATGTAATTGGGACTCCCTCTAGAAACGGGTCCCTCTGACATACTCAGTTTTGGCAAAGTGCTGGTAGTATTAACATTAAAGTAATACAAACTGGAACCAACTTCTCCAGGGTCTCTGAAAACATCAGTCAAGACAGACTCTCTAACCCCCTCCTGTCTAAGGTTGCATAGGACTTTATGAATTCTGGTTCCCTCGTTTATTCAAGTTCTGTGGTTTAAAAAAAAAAAAATCCTGAAGCATGCTCAAGGTGAAAGGCACATACACAGTCAATACAGTATGACGAGGTCTGATGCTTCAGGAGTCAGACTAGCAGGAGACTGAGCAGTGTTGGTTCTTAGAAATCTATACACAATTAAAATATTGCCACACTCAAATGCTACAGAGTCTATAGGAAAGTACAAAAACCTATGAGCCTTGCAACCAGCTAGGTGATAAGCATGGAGGGGTTCCAGAACTACAGGAGCTCCAGAAATATGGGGAAGGGAGGGGCCTTCTGAAATGGGAGCCAAATGCCCTGTAACTCATTCTCCCTCACCAGAAGGATCATGCCCAGGACTGAGCCTAGGCCCCAGCTGGCATCAAAGGAATAGGCAAGAGTGGGAGGGAGTTTTCAGCCCTTGGAAGTGCTGAAGACCCTAAGCTGGCTGTGAAGTGACCCAGGGGGTGGCTAGAAGAATAAAAGTGACTAGGTCATAACTGAAGGAGAGCCTTGGGGAGAGGAGCAAGGTTGTCAACTACTGAGCCCCTAGCGGACTGGCGGGACTTTGATCTGTTTTTAGTGGAGATTTGGCTTACTCCCTTGGATAAGAGACCCCAACAGGGATTCTTCCTGTCCCCATCCCAGCATCCATGGGGCTACCCCCTCCCTTACCCACACATCCCACATGAGGCTTGGGGCTACAGGGTCAGGGAGGGCAGCTGCCTTTGCCCTCATGGGATTGCAGAGTTTTCTCCAAGTCTCAGCATGGCTGTTAAGGCCTGGAAACCTGGAATTGGGGTGAGGGGGAAGACCTATGTTAGTATGTAACAGGAAATCTTAAAAGTTTCAAGGAAGAAAGAGCACGCACTAGAAACGGACAGTTAGAAAGAGAAAAAGGGAAGCAACTCGGGGCATCCCAAGAGGCTGTTGCTGGTGTCTGAGCCCAAAATTCAGTCCCACTAAGAGGAGGGGAAAGCTGGCTTCCCCCGTCCCCTGTGTCTCACCCAGGGGTTCAGGTTCCCTCCTCCAGGTACTTAATAGAGGAGAAGGGGGGGAACCAACCAAAGGGCACCTGTTTCTCCCCAGCAGCCTAGAAAGGAAGAGAGCACTGGAGGAGAGAATGAGGCGAGTCCCCCTGAAAGCCCTGAACCCGGATAGGGACTGTTTGGGGATTGGAACAGTGAAGCTCCTGGCCTCCTACCCAGGAGTGTTTAATAGGCATCCTGGGCAGGGTGTGAAATACAAAGCCAGAGGCAAGATGAAGGCTGAGCTGTCATTCTTGAGATGGCTTCACCCCACAGCTTGTCCTCCCCAGCATCGTTCCCCTGCATTCTTACTCTGGGGTGTGCACTTTCCCTGCCTAGAAGCCCTCTGGCCTGTATCTCTCCTAAGCTAGTTCTAGCACCTTGGGCATGTGAACAGATAGCCAGGATGGCAGGGCCTTGCCCAGCCGCTACTCCTGGAGTGATATGTTGGGGGAAGGGCAGCAAGGTACTAACTGAGCCCTTCAGACTCAGGGCCTGCAGAGGGGTAGGTTTCAGGAAGAGATTTGGGAGGTGGGATTATTTAGGAAAGGGAAGTGGGGGCAGACTCCAGGCTTCAGCCTGAGCAGGGCTTGGCCTCTCTGAGCAAGTGCAATACCAGCTCCCATGGTGCCCTGCTCCTTAACAGCTTCTCAACCTGTCTGTCCTGTCTACATTTCTAATCGGCTGCCTCTTTCCCTTGATTCCCTCCACCTTCTCCCTCTAACTCACATCTCCCGGTCCTCTTCCACATACTTTACCTTTCCAGGCCTAAGCAACTACAAGGAGCCCAGCCCCCAGGGGAAAGGGAAGGCCCGACTAAAGACAGTTTTTAGTCTCAGCCCCTCCCCCCACCCCATCCATTTGGGAGGGAATTACTGGAAATGAATAACATGGGAGCAGGAGCGAGTGTAGTGCCAAACATGAGATAGGGTGAGGCTTGTAAAGTGGGAGTTGAAGGTGGGGAAAGAGACAGATCTAGGACTGGAAGAGGAGACTCTCAGAAAGAGGAGTGGGCCAGAGGTAGAGGACTGGAGGGCAAGGATGAAGGGGAATGTAAGGGCAGAGTGGGGACGGGGACCAGAGAAGGAGGGATGCAGTGCCAGGTAGGGGAGATGGATGGAGGGTTAGATGCAGGAGGAAGGTGAAGGGCGGGAGGGGGTTCAGGGGCGGATTAGAGTATCAGAGAGAAGGAAATTGAGTGGGTGGAAGAGGGGGCTATCACCCCACCTCACACACAGAAGGAGGAAGGTTGTGGTGTCCAGCCCCGGGCAGGCTGCGGGCGCCCCTCGAACAGCACACTGGCTGCGCCGGAGGGCCCCCGATAGGGGCTGGGGATCGGTGAGGGGTTTGTGGTTCGGCCGGCCGACGCTCAGTAGTTGAACTGGCGCTGGCACGGCTGGTAGATGAAGCTGCCCTGGTGCTTGGGCCGGCGCGTACAGCTCTCGCGGGCGCGGTTCTGCCGTTGCAGCACCTTGGCGCTTAGCGCGTGGCGCTCGACCCGCTGCCGGGCCCGCTGCAGCCGCCGCACCTGGCCGGTCTTCTCCATCAGTGCGGCCCGCGCCGGCAGAGGGGCAGCGGCGTGGTGCAGGGCCGCCTGGGGCTCGCGGCGGACGGGCGCCAGCTCTCTGCGGGGACAAATCAGGGCTCGGTCATGGCCGGATGAGTCGGGGGGGGGGTGCCAAGGATGGAGCTGGCACCTCCCACCGTGTCCCTGCATCCTTGCCCTTGCGCAGTGCTGTCTCGGCTCACAGCGGGGAGCCCAACACCCTCCTTGGCGGGGGAGTACGAGCCCTTCTTCCAGCCAACCTGGAGATACCTCCTTGGTTCTATCTCATGTGACACATAAACCAGACCCTTGGGAAGGCTAGGCTCCAACCTCTTAATTCAGCCTTCGCCTTTCTTACGAGCCTCTATAAGCCCCACCCCCTTGTCGTTCTGGCTTTGCCCCTCCAGCCTCTAAACAGGTCGCAAGGCTTAGCCACGCCTCTCCCAATCTCAAAGCCCCGCCCTTTACCCTCAGGCCAGCTGCTAAACCTTATCCCCAGCCCATAGGCCTGACTCTTAGCCTCGAAGACACGCCTCTAGAAGCCCCCCCCCCAGTGCCCAGTGGGCACCTGAGCTCTGCCCCAACCTCCAGGCGCGGACCCTTGCCCTCCAAGATAAGTCTCTCTAGGACTCCACGCCCCGCCCTGGCCTGCTCACCCATCGCTAAGGTCGCCGTCAGGCAGGTCAGCGTCGGGGTGCGGGGAAGGGGGCCCCGGCTCCAGCACAATGGTGCTGCCGGTGACATAAACGGACATGCTGGGGTGCTCGATGAGGAGGTCCTCCAGGGGGCTGCTCTGGAGGCGGGCGGGCCCGAGTCCGGGCCCCTCTGCAGTAAAACAGGCGGGAGGGGTAACAAACCAGCTCTCGTCCATCAAGGAGGGCGCGGGCGGAGGGCGGCCCGCAGGGGCAGGGGCAGCCCCGGGGCTGGGTGGAGCCGCGTAGCTGTCTACGGGGCGCAGGAGGGGGAGCCATGCGGGGGAGGGGGCGCAGCGGGAAGGGACACACACATACCAGACACAGGGGGGCGGGGAGAGAAAGGGCATCGTTAGTCAGACCCGTAGTCCCGCCCGCCGCATCCACGGGGCACCCACGGGCCAGGAGTCTCGACCCGCTCGCTGCCCTAGGGCACGTAAGGTGTGGGCCCCAACACTGCGCCTCCAGGAGACAGCCCGGGGTTGCATGGGATGAGGCCCTGTTACCCCACCTCCAGTGTCACTGCCTCAGCCCGTTTGCTTCGTAGGCCTGGGGCGACTCCCCAGTCCCCTGGCAGCTCCCCTCCCCTCTGCTACTTGGCCACCTGACCTTCACAGGCCCAGGAGTCAGTCAGCGTCCTGACCCCCGATTTAGGCCTCACCCGGCAGGTCAATGATGAGCCAGCCGTCCACTTCATCCTCCTCGGAGACGAAGGCTCTGGGGCAGTCGGGGTCCTCAGGGGGCGGGGGTGTGCTGAAGAAGAAGCTGGTGAGGCGCTGGAACATGGTTGGGAAGTGAAGTGGCCTCAGGGGGGCGCCCTATCGCAGTGCAAAAAACCTGGGAGGTGTAGAGAGGAGTCAGAGCCACCACTGACTGAATGAAGTCTACCCCAACTCCTGGCTGGAGATACCACCCCCAGCCCTTAGACCAGGTTAAGAGTACAACAGGGATGTGTGGGGGAGCTTTGCGGGGTGTGTGCTTTCTGGTAGGTCAACCTGCTCTCAGGCTTTTCTACTTTCTGTGTGACCTTAGAAAGTTATTTAACTTACCTGTGCTTTAGTTTTCTCATCTGTCAAATGGCAATGATAATCAAGTACCCTCCTTTGGGCCCTTATAAGAATTAAATGAGCTAAACACAAAAAGCTTCGAACAGTATATGGGCACAGAGTAAACATTCAATAAACTAATTAACTAGTTATTAATTATTGCATGCTCTAGGGGCATGGAAGGAGTGATATATATATGACTAGATTCTGTCAGAGAAGATCTCCCTGAACCTTGAAGGGTAAATAGGAGTTCTCCAAGCAAAGAAGAAATTGTCCAATGTTGTGATTATTTGTCATCATCACAATATTGCTCACATTCATGTGTCAGGTACTATACTAAGCACCTCACGGAATAAACTTCAGGAAGTGGGTATCATTATTATCCCTCTTTTAAAGTTGAAGAAATTGAGGCTCAGAGAGGTAAGGTAACTTGCCCAAAATTTCACAGCTTGTAAAACAGAGGTAGGATTTGAACCCATGCAGTCAGATGCCAGATGCAGCACCCATAATCACTACACTCCATTGCCTTTGCTGGGTATCTGTCTGGATTAGGCACTTTCAACTTGGTGGCCAGGGGCCATGATCCATGTGTCTTTTTCTGGGGAGAAGGACCTTAGTTTTCATCATGATTTCCCAAACAGCACTCCTTGAGCCCAGAGATTAAGAACTACTACTCAAGTCTGTGTGTCTCAAAAAGTGCTCCCTAGCAAAAATCCCACAGAACAGCTACCATCTCACCATGTAATTGCACAGGCCTCAGTTATGTATGTCAGATGAACTTGGAAGATCCTATTCCCACAGTCCCTCCCCCTCTTACCCCTTATTCCCAAGCTCCTGCTCAAGGACAGCATCCCTGGCTAGGAGGAATAAGATCAGGTTGCCTGGCCCCAGGGAGACAACAGGTCAGTAGGAGGTGATGATGGAGGGAGGGAGCAATCAGACCCCAGGAGCCTTTAAGGATAAGCACTGAGTGTTGGACCAGGACTCAAGGCCTCAATCAGCCCTTCCCTAGGTGAAGATAAGGAAGGAGACCCCTTGCTCCAGGAATGCAGACACCAAGGAGGTGGCTATAGATCTGCCCTTCTCCCCACCTCAGCTTACCTCAGGACTAGACCTGGGCTAGGGGCCCCCTGGATGTCCCTAAAGCTTGACCCTCCACATGTGTCCCCTGATGATGGTCAACAGTTTTGTTATTGACCCAAATGTCACTTTCCTCTAGGGTTCTTTCCACACTAACTATAGAACTCCCTGGCAGCATGTCCACACTTCCATTCCCTGGAGGCATTCTACTGTTACTGCTATCCCACCTGGGGTATTTCTATGCTTGTAGCTACCTCTTCCATTTCCTGGAATTGTTTTCACACTTGCCACAGAATCCCCTAACTTCCAGACCCTGAGAGTATTTTCACATTTGCAGACCCAAAGTGGGCTCAGAAGGAAGTGCTCCCTAGGTGCTGGCTTCCCTGGTGGGAGATCTACAGGGATTATGAAAGGTTGGGCCACCCCAATGAGTGCCTGCCCAGCACAAGCCACACATCTCAACATAGCCATAGGGAGGAGTTAGTGACTCAGTTACCAAAAATCCAGGAAGTTTGGCCCCTCCTGAAGGAAGGGAAGATTGGGGCATTGGTGAGGAACACCCTCCTTCCAAGGACCTTCTAGTTCATTGAGCAGGCGAACAAGTTAAGAGCTGTTTCAGGGACCATCATATTCACCCAGTGCATTTTACAACCTGAGGATAGAGGACATAAGTCTATCCAAAGACACACAGCTAGATGGTGGTGGGTCAGGCCTAGCCCCAGGTCACTGAGCACCCAGTCAGAAAAGCCTCAGCAAACAATCCCCCAAAATATAATGACGCAGGGGAGATAGGGAGTTCAGATAGGAGTCAAACATTGATCTAGTCACTGCTCTCCTCTGCCCAGCTATAAAAGGGTCTGGGCTTCTGGACACCAGATTCATTCATCATGCATTTACCAGAACACCCACTGTATACCACAGCCTGCTCTGGGCCTCTTCAAATTATAGACAGATTGAGGTAAGGGAGGCTGGGGGTGAAGGGAGAGCTGCCTGCCTGAGGTCACACAGCAAGTCAGTGACAGAGCCAAGAGTAACAGCAACAACAGCCAGCCAGTGCCCGCCCCTGTCATGACCACCAGGGAGTCTCCCGGATTTTCTTTCCCAGCCCTGCCAGCTTCCTGGTTCTCACATTCCCAGCCTTGCTCCAGGGAGAACCATTCCCTTTAATAACTGCAGCAGCTGTGCCCAGAATAGCACTTGAGCCCCAAGCCACCTCTACCCCAGCCCATCCTTGAGTAAAGTCCATCCAGCCTCCAGGCCCATCCACTTAGAAAGTCAGGCACTCTCATGTCCTACCCCTTCTCCTGCCTCTCGGAGACCAGAGAGAGGGGCGGCACAAGTCTTGTAATCACCAGCACTAGGCCAGGTCATGTCCTTCTAGCTGACAACTCTGGGTGTTGGGGAGGTGATGAAGGGCCAAACAAAGGGAACTCACCCCCGCACCCAACTCACCCCCCCACCCCACCCCAACATTAGCCCTGGAGACACTCTGATGCAGCCAATGACTCACCTTTCTGTGGTCAAAACAGCTGGGAGGCAACAATTTTATTGGCCTCGGGGACCTCAAGGTACAGAGTGAGGGTCAGGGCCACAAAAGGGTACCCAGTCTCCAAAGATCTGGAAAATGACCCAGGAATGAGGAGACCTAAGAGCCCTATCAAATTTGGATGGTGCTGAGCCCAAGGAGAGTCCTCAGTGGCAGGAGGATGTGTAACTTGTTACTTGTATTGAGTTCCTACTAGGCATGTGCCCATGGGTAATGCATCTGTCACTCACACGGTATGCATGACTCTAATTGGCTACACGACCAGGAGTAAGCCACTTCCCCTCACTGGACCTCAGTTTCCCACTGAAATGGAATCTAAGACTACTAGTTATGGGCCTGGGAGTGACTTCAGTTAAGACGCTGCACACATGTCAGGGATTAGGAGGATGTTATTATGTTAGTCCCAGGGGTGCAGGGCCTGGAGCTGGAGGGACGGGATTCCGCCACCATCTGGCGCTGTCCCAACGATCTGGAGCTGGAGCTCCAGGCCTCCCTTCAACTCCTGAAGACACCTCCCCACCCCACCCCCACACACCCACCCCCTTCAACTTGGACCCAGCAGTGCAGTTCGAACCTCTCAAGTCGAAAGGAGAAAGCAGGAGATCACAGGCCTGATCCAGCCCCTGGATTAACCCAGGAAACTGCCAAGGCCCCTCCGGTCCCCGCTGCTTTTCAGCGTCCCTCACCCATGGGCCCAGCCCCGACCAAGCTCCCACCAGGTCATAGGAGGACAAGCGACCCGAGCAGGGGGGTTGGGGGGGAGAAAGGGAGGGCGGGAGGCGGTGCCGGCCTTGGTGACGTCTCAATGTCAAATGCAAATAGAAAGACGTCATGGTCTACCGGGCATGCGGCAGCCAATCGGGAGACGCGAATGCAGCCCTGGCCGCCGCCGGCGGAGACAAACAAAGACCGGGAGCTGGGGGCACGGGGCGTGTCCCCGGGCGCCGGGAGCCCCCTGGCCAAAGCAGGTCTGGACTCACCTCGGGGCGGGGGCGGTGCGGCGGGCCCGGTGGAGCTGAGGTAGTTGTGCGGCGGAACGGCCAAGGGTCTGCGGCTGATCACAGGCCGGGCCGCATCGCCGAGGCTGGGTCGGGACGCAGCGGGGCTACGCGTGGGACGCTTGTGGCTGCTGCGCTGGCCCGCGGGGCTTTAAGTCAGTGCAGCCGCTGCAGCTGGGCTCGCAGCACAAATTGGAACGTTCAAACAGCTGATTGTGACGTCACAAAGGGGCCCGCCCGCCTCGCGTCACGGCAGGCGGAGCGGTGACCAATCCCAGGCTGCGGATCCCCCCTCCCCGCCTCCTCCAGGGTTTGCTGGCTAGTGACTCCTGTTTGGAAGCCCCACTCCGAGCCGCGGGCCGCCGTCCAGTGAGGCGACTGCTGGAAGCTTGGATCCCCTTCCAGGGTGACCCGCAGACCTCTCAATGAAAAAGGTTCCACTCCTTCCTACGGAATCCCCATCTTCCAGCCCTCCCTCCACGTACCCCAGCGCCTTCACCCTTCCCACTCCCCCGTCAGATCCTTTCACCTGCATCCTATATCCAAGTCCCCCCCAATCTGTACCCTTTTCTCAACTCCACACCACGTCCATGCACCTCCATCCTCCCCACCACTCTTCTCCCTGCTCTCCCTCACTTTTCTGTCTCACCTCCTCACCCCTACCCATTCGCTGCTTTTCCACCCCACATTTCCTCAGCTGGGCAGGTTTGAGGGGACTTCCCCTTTCCCCGGTTCCGGGACAGCACCTGGGAGTGTAGAGGAGTTGGTTCCACTGAAGGGAAATTTTAAAGAGTAGGACTTGGAGAATAATTGCTCTGGGCTAATAAACATTGGCCTAGAGACTGCTCTGTTATGGAAGTTTACACACCACACCTTGTTTATTAATCTACGTTGCTGTTGGGGCTGGACAAAAAGTGACAGTACAAAGATGGATTATTATTCGTCCTGATTTACACACAAGAAAGCCGAAGCTCACAAACCTCACTGTTAGTATGTGAATTCATATTCAATAATGCATTCAACATTTATTAAATACCTACTATTGCTACTGCCAGACTATTAGCTGACATTTATTGAACACCCACTGAGTGCCAGGCACTGTGCTATTGCATTTTATATGTGTTTTGATCTTCACAACTTCAGCCCAAGTGACTTCCCAAGGTCACAAAGCTACTGTAAATAGCAGAGCTAGGATTTGAACCCACATTTCCTGGCCCCAATCCTTTCCACACTCTATATGCACCAGATTGTCCAAACCCCAGAAGACATCAGCCTCCCTAGGGAGACCTGGGC